CCTTTGGACCCTATTACAAAATGAGTATAGTTTATCTGTTATGACGACTGTCAGGCTGCCACTACCGTACCCTTGCACAACCGCACGCAGTCTCCCTTACTGCATAATTTTTTTTTATTTTATTCTTATTTTTCGGTTCAATAAAATTTATTTTTTTAGCTCTGTAACATGAACATCTAGTGGGGCAGGAAAGTATTGTATAATTTCATTAATACCTTATAATTAGAAGAAGGATTCAGTTTTGAAGAAAAAGAATTTTTTTAAATAAATATTTGATTACACATAAGAAAAAAATGTTATTAGTTTACTGTGAGTTCATAGCCCAATCAATGGATTTAGCCGATCAGAATTACTACCAAACAATTTTCTGACGAACGAAATGGTAACGTCTTTACTAAATTTACTTAATTTACAGAATAAATTGCCGCATAAAATCATGTATTTACTATACGATTAACGTTTATCCTAAACATTTTGATATTACGCCATCTGCCCTTCATTATTTGTGTGTGCTGAAGAGAGTGAAACCTAACACGGGTGCAGAAATTCTTGTACCATATCTTGATAAATTAATCAGAATTTTAATATTAGCGTTTATAATCAAGTGTATAATAGTCGTGGAACTGAAAATCTTCGCTATTATTATCTACTTTCCGTAGTGTGATCTCGAAAAAAATCTAAAATGTTTTTTTTTAATTTGCGCTTCAAGAACTACTGATCATTTATTTATTTATCTTAGAAAAAAGATCATTCATTTATTTATGTTAAGTACTTGTGTATGTAATATGTGTGTGATTGACTTATTCAATTTGGCGAGAACGGCTGAACCGAATGGATGGTCTAATAGGAATAAGTGTGAAAATGCAGTATTTATGATACATAGAGTTCTGGCTTCCGTAACATATGAGCATAAACAAAAAAAAACTTGTAAGATTCAAGATCATGTTAAAGATTTAAGTTAAGATCAACTCTAACAAAAACAAACTTTTTAACATAACTTGTGGAATTTTAGAATTTTATTGGGAAATTGAAAAATAAATTATTGTTTTGTAGAATTTTTAACTAAGGATTCCGTGACAAACGAAAAAAATTTTTTTTTATTTTTATGTTTTCAAATATTTAAAAAATAGCAAACATTTTATATACATATCAAACTTTACTGTTTTGTTTAAAATTTATATTTAAATTCGTTTAATTTTTTTGTTTATCCAATACTTGCTCATAAATCTGGAAGTTACAAGTCCAACAGTTTACCTCATGGCGCAGTGCTATGTACCACTAGTTCCATTATATTATATAGGCGTTTACAATCGTTTGTCGAATTTCCTCTTCAGCAAACCGCAATGAATTTTCCTTCGAGGGCCTCGCCCACGTCATTTGAAAATAGATCCTTGTTGTATATATTTCACTGTACATTACCGAACACGTCACTCGATACCTACTTCTTGTACAAGTTTCTCTCGTGGATTGTCTCCTATATGACTCAATGATATTTGAATCTCTACGTCAGGAATACGCCAAATCAGCGGTCGACAACCTTTCAGTTCATGTCAGTGAGTTGTGTTTACAAGAACGCAAATATATATTACTTGGCTAAATAAACATATTTTTATATAGGAAAAATTTTTCTAGTAAGGGAAATAAAGATAAAATGACGTTAAGAATTTCATATTCACAATCTTGTCAGATGTTGAGCGTCATTGTCACAGTCTTCTCGCATCAAACGTTCAAAAATGTATTGCTCAAAAATTTAATTTGAGGGTGATTTACTTATGTTTTTGGGGACTTATTTATTGTTATTTGTAATTATTTCTATTGGACTTTCAATTAACTAATTCCAGCACTAGTGATGTTAATCAATTTTATTGCAATAATAAAGTGTTTGCTAGAATAGGACAAAATAACATGCTTATACAAATGACAAAATGACATAGTATTATCTGCCAGGTACTACAGAGTAGTTCATTCGAGGCTAAGAAAAAATTGAAATCAGTCGAATGTGGTGATTGGCTTTTAACTTCTACCCTAACTAATTCTAAAAGCAGGTCCATTTTTTCCAGTTCTGAGCCCGGCGTTATTACTTTTTTATGCATACTTTGAGTATAATATTTATTAATTGGGCAATATAATATCTTTTGAAATTTCAATAAAATTTAATCACAGGCTTTGTGGATTTTTAATTGGCGAATAGAGCTTTCACACCTTCATTGTTTAGTGAAAAAGCGACTGTCACAAAAGAAAGTACTGTATTTAAATGTATTTTTTAGGAAAACTGTTAGGGTAAATTGTTTTCATGATTCAATAAATTTCAATTTTATGAGCTAAATGGATTCAGAAAGTAGATTATCTGGCAGGTAGACAGATGAGTTTCTGGAGGACGCGAACATACAAGCCATTGCATTCATCGCAACTCAACTGACAGATAGGGTTACTGTGATGAACTGGCGACTACGGACCATTTGAATCACTGGCGCGTCTCTAAAACGACACGTCTCATAACCGAATTAAAATAAACTTTTCCTAAGTGCACATTCGAATTAACATAATGCGAACGAGTTGCTGTTTATTCTTGGCGCATATGTCCGCAGATATTGCGGACTTTGCACGCCTTACATTTGACGTGAATGGCCCCTAAACAATATTACAGAAACGTCTGTTATAACAGTAATAATTATATTCTGTGTCGTTTTGCTTGATTTTGAAGCACAAAACTTTTAAGATTGGCGTACATGAATAACTCTATGTAATGTGAAATATGATAATATAATTAGGAGAAAATACTTCAATTTGTCATGTATTCAGAGATGTAGGGGAGAATGGGACTGACTTTTATTATTTTACGTCAACACAGTGAAACAGTAATATTATTGCACATTAAATTCTTTATTAATTACTGAATAATCATAATCAATTTTATTTTGTATCTTTATAAAATGGAATATTTTTTATAACAAAAAAGTAGATTTAAACCTATCAAAGGTGGTCTGCTTTTAAGTTTTACTCTAACTACTTCTAAGAACAGATTAAAAAATCCACCGATAAAGAGAAGAGCCTTGCATTTATTGCAAATACCTCTTTTTACTTTCTGAGCCCGGCAAAAATTAGTTACGATGTATGAATTTGTTTCCTATGCACTCATGTATTATGTGTCGATGTCCCAAAGTAGACCAAACGACTTATTTGTCAACTGTCTTCTTACAAAATAGTATCTGATCATGTACTATTTTGTATCATTTTGTCCGTACTATATGGACAAAATAGTTTTCGTAATTACAAGTTAGCACGTTTTTCTTAATAAATATGTTTTTATAGTTAAAAGGATATGCTGCTAGTAGTCGATGAATCTAAGATGAGAAAAACTTTGAGAGTGGCTATAATATCATTAAATAAATAAATAAAATTGAAAAACTAAACATCATGTCATTTTGTCCGTACTTCTCCTCCATGTTTACAATTTCCATAAACAAGCAAATTAGATAAACCACGCCTTTTTCTTCCGGTTTTTATCTCGCCAAGAAACTTAATAAGGTACTCAATAACGTAATTTGTCTATTTATGAACAGATAATGTAATATATTTAAAGTATTCGACTTAGCAAAATGAAAATTTATATTTGTGTTTATTAAATTTCTAATCAGCGGAAAAAATCTAATTTTTGGCCAATAAAGTTGAGGATGTTAGTTTTAAGCAATGTTTGTTTTATTTTTAGATATTCATCCTTTTAAGCAATTTATTTTTGCAAAATTGCTAATATTACATTTATTTATGATATTTTATTCTATTTTTTCTAAATTATCATTGTTATTCAATTTTGTATTTCAAGTTAAATTTATTTATAGAAGAACTTTAGATTTACTGAAACTGTAAATTATGTTTCATATTTTTCTTTAATTTTGCTAATTTTTATTTGAGATTACTTTACACTGGTACTGCAGTAGTATTTTTAACTTCCCGTAGGGTAAGTTATTGTAATGGGCCGAAAATCGAAATTGAAAATTTTTACATTTCTCGACGTTTTGAAGGTTTTTGAACATTTTGGCATACCTCAGAAAAAATGGATGTGTGTGTGTGTGTGTGTATGTATATATGGATACAAATTTCCAGTCACGTTTTCGGGCGCACGGATCAACCGATTTCAATGGTTAAAAAAAACATTCGATTCCTATTGATAGGGAGATGAGCTGATTAGTTTTTGGCAAAGGCAGGTCCAGTCGTTAAGGAAATACGGAGCAATTGTGCATAAAATAAAAATAGAGTTTTTGAGTGAACGGAGCATCCGATTTGAATGATCTAAAAAACATTCAATTAGTAATGATTGGGAGAAGTGATTATTAGTTTTTGGCAAAGGCAGGTCGAGCGGTTTCGGAGATACATAGCTAAATGTGCAAAAAATGGCAGTTTTTGAAAGAACTAAGCGTCCGATTTGAATGATTCAAAGAACTTTCAGCTTGTTTTAACAAAATAATTGATTTTGGAAAAAAAAACTGTATATATATATTTTTTTAGTTTTTTTTTGTATATCGAAAATAATTCAGATTTTATTTTTAATTCTAACTAAAGTTCTAACTCTTTAATCAAATAATTTTAACTTTGCAATTCAGTTTATATAATTCTTATAAATATTAAGCAATGTGTTACAATATTTATAATAATCTATTTGAAAACATTCAGTATTCCTCGAACATTTCGTTACGGTACGGGAAGTTCCAGCAATTTGCCTTAAGGCACGATGCCATACACCCCACTAGTTTTAATAAATATAATTGAGTGTCATATCTAAGTTATAAAGATAAAATATAGAATCGCATTTTATGGCAGAAATAATTGTAACTCAAAAATAAATTTAAAAAAAATAAAGCAGGAAATACTTCTAATAGTTTAACGGATTTATTCAATGTATGAAATCTTCAGTTATTAGATAAAGTATTAGTTATTAAATAAATTTTTCTATTGAAAATACATTAAGTATAACAAAATAATATTTTACTGTATTTTTTCAGAACATGTTTGGCAAGTGATCGTGAAGAAGAGAGGTTTAGGAGCAAGTCGAAACATTTCGGGTCGGTATCACCTATGCCTCAATGATAACACGTTGTCACTCGTTCGCATAGGAGGTGGTAGTAACAGCAATTCCACCACAAACACAAATGCTGCCTTCAATGAAACTGCCACCAATCAACACCCGCCGCTCCAACATAGGGCTTCAAGCCAATCTATACAACCGCAACCTGAGGAACTCATCGAGTTTCCACTGATATACATCAAAAGGTTTGTTAGTTTATTTGAATTTATTGTGAAATTAATTAATATATTTACATACTGGATAAAAATGATACTCCTTTACACACTGGATTTCCACGCTGAAAGTATTGCTTTAATGTAATTATTTTTGTTCAACGTTTTGTAGGATTGCATAGGCGGATTTCTAACGTAACTTAATAATTATTGATACTTATAATCTCTCTAATTTAATTTTCATAAAAAAAATCATAATGATAGTTTAGCATATCAATAAATGCATTCATTTTTCATATAAGTAAACACATTTTAGCATCTGTGTTAAAATGCAGTTATTATTGTATGATTTGGAAATTAGAAACTTAGACTGCCTGTCTAGCAGTCCATTTTAATTTAGGCCATAATTTGAAAAGGCAATCTTTTTTTTATTATTTTTTTTTATAATTTATATATGAATGTACAAGTATACAGAAAAAAAGTAAAATAAAAAAAAATTTAAAAAAAAATAAATAAAAATTAGCAGTTTTTGTAATTGTGGGCTTTATTCAATTTACTGATGCATGATGATGGTTTATTTATCATCCATAATATTAAAAATCATCCATAATATTTGATCTCAATATTCTATTCGTAGCGTACGTCATTAAACAGACCATTACGCGAAAACTGTTATCTCACTTTAAAAATGGCTAAATTGCTTAATATTGCACCGAATGAAGGCCGAAGAGATTGAAGGATTGTTTTTTTCTTTTTAATAGTTTTTTTAGTAACATTTCAATTGATGTTTATAGAGATTCATCAATTGTTCTAATTTTTTGCCTAATTTTGTAAATTTGAAATTCGCCTCAAGAGAAAAAACAATTGTATTTAATTTAGTATTGAAAAAGATATCTAAGAAAAAATCTAACAATTGTTATATCATTTGAATATTTGAATATTTTTAATGCATTATTTCTAAATTGAATTAGTAGTATTATTTTATTTAGTATATCAATCTATTAATATTGATATATTCATTACATTAATATGCAATTATGTTTTATTCGTATTCATTACCATTGCAGCCATAAAGCCAGACAAGATTTGAAGATTAGTTTGAAATTAATTTTAAACTTTGTTACTAATCTCTTAATTGGAATTCTTGCATATATTATGAGAAATTAATATCCCATTTCTGTAACTTTTTTCTTGAATATTTACAGCACCGGAGCTCTGGAATCTTTCTTCTATATGGAAGTTGGTCGTTCCGCAGTTACCGGCGCCGGGGAATTATGGATGCTTTCGGACGATCCTAACATTGCCCAAAATATGAATTCCATCATACAATCGTAAGTTAGATTTAATTTAATTATTTTAAATTTATGGTCCAGTTTGGAGATTGTTGTGCCGAATGTTATATTTTTTCAAAGTAGAAATGGTTTAATTGTACACACTTGTAAATTACCTTTGAAGAACCTTTATGTAGCATTTTACTCATAAACTTATCTACATTGTACGTTGGTCAAATATCGCCTTCGTTTAGTAATTTCGTTTCACTATTCCAAGTATATAACATGCATAACTAAAAATAAATTTAGAATTTTTTTATTGCGTTTTTGTTCGTATATCAAAAATGTATAATGTTTATGAAGTTATAGAAGTCATAAAATTTTATTGGTATACATTTGAAATAAAAATTCAATATGCAGATACTTAATGCATTATTACTGCAAGGTTAGATACACTCGTTCAGATTTCATGTTTAGAACATTAAATCTAATAAAAAAATGATATTAAAAGGTAGGTCTTTTTATATAATTTAAGTAATATATTTATTTATTTTGATAATATGTGCTTTGCATTAATTGCTGCTCTGACATGTTTTGCGCTGTGAACAAACATATTCAATGCATGAAAAATTTCTTTTCATTTTTATCTTTTCATAAAATTTTATACACACACAGTAGTTTGTTCTTATTTGGTCTCGCTTATTCTGATTGTGAGTATTTATCCGCCCGCAATATTTTATTTATATACATTCTATACTATTTTTTTTTATATAAAATTCATTTTAAATCTTAATTTTTCTTCTTCAATTTGTCTTCTTCATTCTTTCTAATTGTATTCAACTTCTCTTTTTTTTCATTCTTCTTTTAATCTCAGCGAGTTTTGATATTTTTTTCTTCTTACTCCTAATACAGCTCAGCTTTTCGAATTCTGTAATTTCTATTCTTACTTAATTTTTATTTAAATCCTACTTAACAAATCCAATTCTATTTAATTCCAAATTAACTATATATATTTTTTCTTAAATTCTAAGTCAACAAAGTAGTTAAATTTGATGTTGAAATATATGAAGAAATTTTTGAAGAGCGTGACATCAAGTAAAAAAGAGTATGTAAAGATTTTAAACCAATCCATGTGTTTCCACGCAGTTCTACGTTATAATCATTGGATACTAATTGTTTAGAGCAAAAACTAGCACATAATAATAGTATTGCAATATAGCCATTAAATAATTTGTAACGTAACACTATCTGCCGGTAGGAACTATTTTATCAAATAATTTTTTGGAAAATGTTCAGAAATACGGCTATTCGAGGCCAACTTGATTTTTGCGCGGTACATAAATTTTTTATTTAATTAAAGGTTGGGTTGTTCATAATAAAAACATTTATACCTCGATTGCTACTAGGAATTCTTGATTGTCAATTTCTATTGGATTAATAATTGAAATCACGATAATCGATTTAAATAATGCACAACTAACAATAAGCATTATTGTTTACATTCTTTTCAAATAAGTAAATTTTAGGCTTGGTCATACATGCGTCTAATTAAATTATAATCGAATACAGAAACAATTACAAACACAAACAATTACAAAATTGTTTATTAATTCAGGTATTTAAAAAAAAAGTCTCGCGTGTATCGACATTTCTCGCGATTGTCCACTCGTTCTCGGTGAGGCGATGTGTCGAATTAATCGCTGTCGGACGGACGGCATGGCATGGCGTGGCGTGGCGTGGCTTGGTCGCGGACGCCGCGGTTCAGTCGCACGCGTCACATGAACCTCAATTAAATCTAACGAGATCGGAGCTTTTCTGTCACACCTCTCCAATGCTAATGATGGCTCAATTAGCTCATCGCCGGATGTAAGAGGGAGGAAATGAAGCTTGACGGTGCGATGAAAAATATCCACTAGTGTCTGGGCGGTTCGGCTCGACGGCTCGACGGCTCGTTAGCACTACCGCGATATAGGGTCTTTGACATGCCGTGCTCAATTCTGCCTTCTTCCGCACTTTCGTTATTAAAATATGCTTTTGTTTTATCAATTTGCGTTCTTTGCGGCACACATGCGACTGACGTTGGAAATGTTTTCTTATAGGATGTGCAATAAACATTTCAAGCGATTTGTTATTCTGTTTCACATTTTTGAATAAGAATAATGTGATTGGCTAAGTAGTTTGTAACAAAATATATTAGTCGTTTTTATCCATTAGGCAGTACAGTATTAATAAATTTTGTTATAACAAGATCGTCTTTAATTGATATTAATTGAACTGCTGTAGATGATTTTGGCTCATAATCAGTCATAACGATGATTTGTTTTCAAAAATGTGTGTACGGTTGTGACATGTGGTTGTGGGCTTTAACCTTTTCGGGTGAAGATTAGACAGATAAAGAAAAAAGTAAATTAATTAAGATAGAGAAAGGGAAAGGAAAATTCAATACAAAAAAAGATTTCACTAAGATTTTTTGTTAACTTTGTTTAAAAACTTATGTTTTGTTATTTATTTTTATATTATATTTAAATTAATTAAAATTTATTAAAACCTGGAGATTTGAAATTAATAGTTTAAAGTGAGTACATGTGACATTTACGCTTAGAACAGATACCTGCTCACCAGTGAGAATAGGATACACTCAAGTACCTCAAGAAAACCATGTGAAATATCTCGGCATATACCTCGATAGAAAAGAGGCGACTAGGGACTAAATCAAAATTAAACTCATACAATAAGCTACTTTTATATAAAACTTTATTCAAACCAATTTGGTGCTATGGACTACAATTGTGCTCATAAGACTAATATAGAAATAATACAGAAATGTCAGAATAAATTTTTGAAAATTGTCTTAGAAAATATATCCCGAACTGGCTAATTCATCTCGACACGAATACACCTACGTTGAAAAAAAGATGAAATAACAAAAACAGCACATAAATATAGAAACAGGCTCCATCAGTCACCCAAATTCACTAGCAAACTCTTAATAGTAGAACTATCGACCTAGGTTGAAAAGAAAAGCGTCACTAGATTTAAGTCATCAATTTTCCTGATAAATATTGAACTAACTTATTATTAGTCATTATTTATACGAAAATATTTATAAGTAAATAGTTAGGATTATATCATTATCAATAAAATATTGTTTATATTATAACGAATGGGAAAACAACTATATATTGAGTTGTTTTCTCAATATGTCCATTTAGTATACAATGTCTCTTTACGGCTGACAATTGTAAATTCTTCAATTTATTGAATGTCCTTAACTGGACAGTTATAAATAAAATAGAGAATAAAAAAAATATTTATAAGGGTTATTTAAATAATTGTGTTGTGTTAATAAAAGTCGTTATAAACCATTTCGGTGTTTATACCAATTCCTTGGGGAGGTGTTTATGCCAATTTCTTGTATGATTTTTTTTTACGATAAATCCATCGCATTTAAGGACGGTATTTCAGTATTTTCACGTAGACTCTAATGTTCTAAATGTTCAAATTATTATTTAATTTACTTTTCTCGCAGCGAACTGGTAAATTAACAAAATTATGGCAGATAAAAAAAAGTGACACAACTGTACCCAGTTTTCCTATTGCTAATAGTTAATGACTAGCAAGCGTTATTATTTTCAAACATGTATGTTAATTTATCTCGAAGCTCTTAAATGCTGTATCATCATAATGATTCTAATATTTTTACATTGGGAATTGGGGCTATATATTAAGATCTCTTCATATATGTAGTAGTCGAAATGATTATGATCCCTTGCCAAATCATCCATGAAATAACTATGTTTTCATATTATTGCTTTCAAACTATTAGATATAATCAATAGCGTGATATCCGCGTTTGTTATTACTCCAACAGCAACACGTGGCATGTTATATTTATATTACCACGTAGGTAATACTATTTGTACGATCATTCATTATTAGCGGTGGGATTGTGCACACGCGCCGTGCGCACTTACATTGTAACACATGTAAATGTATACATGCATATATATCACTTGCATCTACATACGCAGATTAGTCGGGTCTCCCAGGGTCGGCATCGTGGACAATTTGAGTGATATATCATCTATCATACTAAATTGTATCGTAATTTTACAAAATTTTCAACTCGTGATCAAAGTCGTGCAGTTTTTATGTACCAAAATTGTCGGAGCACTTTACTATTATTTTCATACGTTACGATTTTTGTAATGCTTCCATAAATCATTTTATTATAAATTTCGAAAGTTTAATAATAAATTTTATGATTGCAAAACTGACTTGTTAGTTATATTTCCTCTATCGTGAGACACAATTATGTTTCTTCGTGCAAATTATTTAGGTTTGCGTAAACATATTAATTTAACTAGAAGTACAGTGGTATCCGACATACGTTATCACGCTCGTATGTCGAATCGCTTGTATCTCGAAACAATTTTTTTCATATAAATACATTGAAATGTACAGTTGAAATTTCAAACGTTAAAATAACCCCCGACATATTCGCATGGGTAAATTGTTACTACATAATTAATATTAATATATAATTGAAATCACTAACTATAAAATAATTTACTATCGTAAATCAACCAAAATATTTCTATGGTAGGAAAATTATTGTTACAACCATATAATTTATACTTGTTCATCTATGATTACAACTGACGATACAATTTTTCACATAGCTATTGACATTGTTCTAGAAAACTCTCACTCGTTCAAAGCTGAAATCTCGAATTTTGCTCGTATGTTGAAACAACGAATTGCTTTTTTGGCGGCTCGTATCTCGAAACACTCGTATGTCAATTTTAATAGTTTAATAATAAAAAAATAATTAAAATTTGAGTTTAATAATTTTATTAGAAATTGGTGTATTTATCTGGATAATGAATTTGCCCATCGGTTCCGCACTATTTTAAATACGCGTGTAAGTTACAGTGCTACGTCCGCTTTGCACCTTAACGTGTTTGTGTGAAACACGTATAGAGAATGTTCAATACTAGTGTTATGCATAAATACCTTCCATATTACATAAATTATTAATTGCTTAAATGTCCTTTGTG